GTTCCTCTCCTTCTTTCTGGGAAGTGATACAGCTACTCATTTAAGCGTCAATCTGCTTGTTAATTCCTACAGCTGCTTTGACCGGGTGTTTTAAAAATTTTTTAAAAATATACAAATGTTCCTGGAAAAACATGAAAACAATAGAAAAATGTACAATGATGGAATCTAAAGTGTTCTGTTGTGTTTTATTAATTTTTTGATGAGGAAACAGAGGAGAGCTGATAGAGGCGATAGAGTGTTAGTTGAAGAGCCAGACTCAGAAAGATCTGTTTCTGGACCTCCCATTAGCACTCCAAGATGGCAGGCTGCTCCCTTCCTTTCTCCCCAGGCCCCTGTGTCCTCAGGTTGGAAAAGACACTTGAGTCAGGACACATTTTTTTTTTCCCCTTTGTCCCTTTTTGGCAGTAATGGGCATGCCCTGGGGAATTCAGGCTTCCTTTTCCCCACCATTAAATAACCAGCCCCTCTCAGAATCTGAACCCTGAGTATTTCTGGACTGCCTTTTTAACCTATTGGAGGTCCTCTGAGATCATTTCCCTATCCCTATTCCTGTCCACAATTCCTTGCTATATAGGATTTTCCATAAATACATATCCTTAAGCATCCTCTTACAAACTGTTTACTCATCTTCTCATCCATTAAGATGATATTCCCCAGACCAAGCCTGGCACCCATGTATTTGACTTCTTCTAAACACATCTTCACCTCCAGACGTGGAACCATTTATTATTTCCCTGGCCCCTACAGATGACCTGTGGTCTTCTACCTATTGTCATTATGCTGGAAAATGTTGAGATAGAGTATAATTTAAATTAATCATAGAAATGAAATTTCCCAAATGTGTCCAATTGAATAGTTTTCTTAAGCCCTATAGATTTACCGCATTGTGCGTATACTCATCATTTACGAGCTTCCTGTAGATATCTATAAAAGACCATTGAATATATTCTGTGGGATTGATTATTTGAAGCCACCCTGATTCTGCTCACCCCTTCGTTCCCTTTAGCACTATAGTTTCTCTCGCTTCCAGGGGCACACCATGTGGAGTGGTGCCCCCTTTCAATTTGGCCAATATTTGCAATGTCTCCTAATTACCCTGAATAGAATTCATAGATAATATGACCTACCTATTTACATGTTTAAAAATATAAATAAAAGTGCCTTAATTGTCATAGAAAAGGAACAAAGAATAAATGAGTTATAATATAATATCACTTTTTCTAAGATGTAATTGCTCGGGCATGACTACATAGACGATAGAAGTAAATCAGTTGCTTGAACCTCTATGTAGAAGCGCTGAGAATGTAACAGCCATGAACATGCACAAGATACAGGTGTGTCGTGTGAGTGATTTGAATACCAGGTGCTGCTGAAGTTGATGTGATTTTCCAAAATGGTGAACCACTCTTAGTAAAGTTCCAAAGAATATAAAGTGCCCCCTTGATTTGTACTCTAATGGCATCCATGGACAACTCAGTATATGTTAAAACAGTGAAAAAATGCTCTACGTCTATTTCAGGAAGGGAGTTCGATTCTAGAAAAAAAACCCATTTGCAGATCATTGCAAATGGGTTTTTCACCTCTGAATGTCCAGTAGACCATTCTAAAGTCATGTGGGAGCGTTCTTTTGTGGGTTATTGTGGGAAGTACAGGACATCTGGCAGTACTTGTAGCAGTCCCTACCCACCGTGGTGCTGATAGAGGATCCCCACTTTCCCCGGGGTGGCCCTGTTGAGAATTACTGGCATGGAAGAAGGACCAGGACCTGTGTTCTAGGTCTGGTTTATAGTACCTCAGTGTTTATGTGACCTTAACTCCAGATGTCAGGGAAATTTAATGACACATGTCCTGCCAGCCTTTGGGATTGTGGCTCGCTGTGCTCCCCACCACGACTCGGGACAGCCAGAGCACTTACGTGTGCCCCTAGCATATATCCCACCCACGAGCTCTCCCTCGCTGTGGTTTCTCTTAGCATTTAAACGTCCTTATGCCTCTCTCATCTAGAAAAGAAGGAAGGGAGGGAGAGAGACACCTCCCTCATCTCTACTTGTCCAGCAGCTTTCTCTCCCTTTTCCTTCACAAGCAAATTTCTCAAAAGAGTCATCCATACACACCATCTCTGCCACCTCCCTTTGTAGTCACTCCTCCTTCTTAAATAGTCCCCAGTAACCTCGGGGTTACTGCTAAATCTCTTCAGCCTCTGTCTAACTTGTCTCTGTAATTGACCACCACCCCCAAACTCTCCTGCCCTACTTCCCTGACAGAGTTCTTTCTTGGGTGTCCTGTTGCCTCTCTGGCCCTTCCTCAGGCCCCACTCACAGCACCTCATCCTCTGCCAGCCCTGAATGACACCTATTCTACCTTCTCCCCAGCATGCTCCTTCTCCATCCAGCTGGGTCCCAGACCTGCCCCAGCCTAGAGTTCTGTGGGCATCTCAGACTTAGAGCTTCTGAAACGCAGCAGCTCATTGCGAGTCGCCTCCAACTTGCACCTCTTCCTGTATCCTCTTCTCTCAGAGAATGACACCTCCATTGCCCAGGTCAGAAGTCTGGGTGTCATCTTCCACTCCTTCCTCTCTTTCACCCTCACCCCGTCTTATCAGTTCTGCTTTCTTAATAGCTCTCGAGTCTTCACTAATTTGAGTGCCTGCTTGACCCATATTGTCATTTAGGACTGCAACCTCTGCTTACTGTTTGGGCTGAATTAAAATCTTTAGAGGCCCTCAGCACTGACCATAAGTAATTAAAAATAGGATCTATAAGTAATTACAAATAAGTTATTACAGTTCTAAGTTACGCTATAAAATCATGGTTTAAGAAACAACAAAATTAAGAAATTTACTTGTGTAATGAAGCCGCAAAAGCTTCTTTTTGCTTCTCTCTCATTTTCGCCTCTTTAAAATCATTTTCTTTGGTGCTCCATCATAGGCGATACCCTAAGCATGTGTCTAGCAGGCCAGCTGAGCAATCCAGGCCCACTTAGAATGTCAACCTCCTGTGGCTAATGCTTGGGTCTTTGCTTCCTCCGTCTTTGCATATACCTGGTGGCATGACATAGATACTGAGTGATTGTTTAATGAACATGTTAGTGAATGCATAAAAATGAGATCGACTTGAAAGGGCTCACTGAAATAAAAAGCATGATCAGAATGTAAGTTATTAGCTTTCTGGCGTTTGATGTTACAGTAGAATTTCCAAGGTTTTGTGTTTCCAGTGTTTTAAAAACAACCAGCCCCACGGTTGTGCTTTAGCTTTCATACTCCAACATACTTAACGTTGCATAGTCTGCACATGAAAAATGTATATAAGGATTTCTGAATTAATAAGTAAATGAATTTGTACAATATGATGGTTTACTCGATTCTCTTCAGCCTGCAGTGAGGCTGTTTAAAGAGACTCTGTCCGGCTGTGAGTTATTTGAGTGAACTCACCCAGCTGTGACAGACAGTGAACCTGGTGAGAGAGGCTGTGCCAGTGTGTGGGGTGGGAGAGGGGCGCTGCTTTGGAGTAACACGCATGATGGCGATGGCGCTGTGGGAAATGGGGCATCCACTCTAGAAAGCCTGCATATGATCCCAGAAGGGACAAATGTGGCCTACAGGCTAAAGTCAGGCAGCATCAATAGGACTAGCCACAAAATTTGCGGGGGGCGGTAAATGAAGTACCTTATAAAACCCTTAGAAGGCTTAACAAATATAACTTGCTTGATTCTTGTGGGCTTTTGAACAAAAAAGGTGTCAAAACATTTTCAGAAGATATTAACTATGTATAAGAATAGACCCAAAAGGTTAATCGACCCTGTCCTCTGGTATTAATAGGGAGGCCTCCTAGAAGATTGCTGATCTTGGGAGAGGAAGGAATAAATCGATGAAAAAGTAATAAAAGAGGAGGGCCAAACTGGGAGAGGGAATGTGCCCATGAGGGATGTTTTGGCAGAGCTGGAATTTTTGTGCCTGTTGCAAGCATGTGATGACCAGTGTCCTCCCATTGTGTCCACCCCACCCGCTGTCTAATTGAAGGGACCCTTTTGTTGTTTTTTTCTCAAAACTTTTTATTTGGAAAGCAGTCTCAGGCTTATAGAAAAGTTGCCAGAAGAGTACCAAACACCCATGTACTCTTTATCCAAATTTACTCTTTTTGATATTTTGCCTCATTTGCTCGCACGCTTTCTCTTTCTCTCTCTCAATTTTTTTCTGAACCATTGAAGAGTAAGTTGCTTATATCACAGCCCTTTACATATTTTAGTGTGGATTTCCTGAGAATAAGGATATTGTTTTATATAACCTTCAGTAAATTGAATATTATGATACTTTATCCCATCTGCTGGTTGTATTCCAGTTTGGTCAATTGACCCAGTAATGTCCTTTATAGCATTTTTCCCCCCTCTCCAGTATAGGATCCCATACTGCATTTTGTTGTCATCTCTTTTTAATCTGTTTTCATGTTCCTCAGCCTTTCTTTGTCTTTCATGACATTGGCATCTTTGAAAACTATAGCCTCCTCCTCCTCCTTTAAAAAAATATAGAGTGTTCTTCCCTTTGGATTTGTCTGATGTTGCCTTGTGTTAAGACTCTGGGTTACACACTCCCAGCTGGGATATAACTGAGTGATGTGCGTCCCTTTCAGTATATTACATCCCGAGGCACCGAATGTTCATCTACCCCTTCTGTGTGACGTGAAGTTTGATCACTCAGTCAAAGCGTTGTCCAGTTTCCTTACTGTGTATTTACTATTTTCCCTCACTACAGTAAGCAATCTGTGGGGAGATACCTTAAGACCATATAAATATCCTGCTCTTCATCAACACTTCCTCCCTGGATTTACCAACTGTCCCCTCTAGGTTTGCAGATATTTCTGGATCCCATGTATGGTGCGGGAGTTCAAAGCTGTCTGGGACCAGATGGCCCATTTCCGAGGGCCTTGCCCGTGTGCTGTGCTGGGCCCAGTCCTGTTGAATAACCCACATTTTCATAATAGTTTTCCTCTTCCTACTTCCACCAGGAACAGAAGCTGATTCGTCATTCACTCAGCTGACATATGAAAATGTTCTTGCGAAAACCTCTCAGCTTTATTGGGCACAGTAGGGCCTAAGGAGAAGGTTGGTGCCCTCTCGGTGTCTTTAAGGAGCCTACCATAGAGTTGGGGAGACAAGACTTGGACTCACTGAAAGGTAAAGGGCATAAAAGTTGTCAGGACTGTGACCCCACAGGACAGCTCAACCAGAGCTGTCCCAAGACCCTGGAGAATTAGGTGCCCTTGGAATTTTGGAAGAAGAGGGATGAGGTGGGTTAAGTAGGATGCAGGAACATTCCCTTAATTAGGCTAATCTTTGAGCGCGCAATTGAAGAACAGGCAAATATGGGTAAACAGGAGAGATAAGGGCCTTCCAGGAGGGGAACCATGTGCTCAGAGACCAGGATATGGGAGCATGGATGATGCAATTGAGAGACAGTGAGTTATGGACCGACCTGGATAGGGCCAAGGGCTGTTGCAGAGGTCAGAATCTACCTCCTTTTGCTTTGCAAAGTAACTGCTTTGCAACCAAATCTTACTGAGCTCCTGTCTCAGGTCAAGCATTTAAAAAAATAACTTTTCCAATTCTAAAAGTAATACATGTTTGGTATAAGAAATTTAGAAAAATAGAATATGTAAAAAAATTTTTAATGACGTCACTCTATTCTTATCTGATCCAGAGATAACCTGTTAACCGCAGTGTTTCCTACATTTCTAAGATCTTTAACCTTTTTCTGCTAACAGTCTTGTTTTGTTTCATGGATTTAGTAGCAACTCTTATCCCTCAGAGGATATTAATCATATCTTTAAAAACGGTTCATTCTGTTGGCTTTATTAATTTTGTTTTCTAGCTAGAACTTCTGCTCTGAAATTTGGTGCTGCTTTTGCGGTTTGGTTTTTGTCAAACGTTTATGTGCTCCTCTCTCTGTATTTTGAGGTTTTCCAGTGACCTCTCTGTGAATGCTGAGTCTATGCTCCAGAGCCAGCCACCACTGTTTGTGGCCAGGAGGGTGGGATGTGCCTGCTGGAGCTGGCAGGAGCTGGTCTAGGTGTCCCCTTGCCTCCCTACCACAGTGTTCAGGGCACAAGCATGAGGTGGGCAGGAGCCCACTTGCCTGGCTGCTCCAAATCCAATCACTAACCTCTCAGGGCCCCTCCTGGGCCCCTGATCTGCTCCTCTCAGCATAGAATCCTCAGCTACACTGCTTGGGTTCAAATCCTAGTCCAGGTACTTACTAGCACTGTGACCTTGGGAAAGCTATGTAGCTCAGGGTCTTATTTATAAAGTGGGAATAATAATAGTCTCTATCTCGAAGGATTGTTGTGAGGGTTAAATGAGATAATATAAGCCAAAGTTCTTAGAATAGTGTCTGGCATATAAATGTCTATATGAGGTCAGTTGTTATTATTATTATTATTTTTTTCATGGTTTTATTTTGGGGGGGTCAAGGTTTCTCCATCAGTTTATTCACATCTGCCTTCCATCTTCAGGGAACCCATATAGTTCCTTCTTGTTTTCTAGCACTGTAATGTATTTAGTCTTCCTAGAAAATGCCTTTTCTGTCATTTTCTAGGGTCTTGGAGGAGGCAGGTATAGGCCTCTGGCCTGCCATCTTGATACAGTCATGCGTTTCCTTCAAGTTCTTTTTATCTGAGTATATATAAGTGTGTCATTGTTATCTGTGATATATACATCAGGGCATCCATTATCATGCGCATCATCTTGCCCCAACTCAGAGCTAGTCTCACCTCTAGGTGTGAGATACCGGATGCTGACTCTCTCCTATACAGGACCGGGAGGTGATGAGTTCTCTCCTCAGCCTTGCTCAGGCTGGTTTGAGGCTGTCCTAATGAATGTAATGGGTCCTCTGTTTCCTTTGTCAAAAGGAATGTTAATTATTTTCAGCAGTCTAATTACGTGGCTAATGAGAGACTGACTGAGATAACATTCCCTTTAATTACTCTTGCCTAAGTGCTGTTTGAAGTCATATTTCGAGCATGTTGCAAGACTCGGTATTTTGGAGGTAGATGGAGCTGTCCAGTGAAAGAATAGTGAGGAGCCAGGATTTCTGGGATAAGGCTCATGGTGAAAGGGTCTGGCTGAAGTCAGTGTCCAGCCCAGTGTGTGCTGGCCTTTCCTCTGCACCAGTGCTTAAAGGAAGGGACAGATCGGGTCAGGTATAGAGCAAACAGTGTCCATGCCAGTTACCCCAGAACAACTCTCGTTCCTCAGTCTTTCACCAATGCACCTGCCCTTCAGGCCTCTGAGCCAGGCCTCCGCACTCTCGGAGGACCTGCGTTCTGCCTTTCCCCCGATTCGACACATGGATATTGAGTTCCTACTGTATATCAAGTTTATTCAGGCCATGGATGCAAAGATAAGGAAGTCATAGTCCAAATAGCTTTCTCAAACAAAATGTTAGTCATACCCCTCCCTTCTTTGCCCAGAATAAATTCCACATATTTGTATTCTGACCCGTACCACCTTCCCAGGTCGATCTGTGCTATGGCCTTTCTGTGGTTCTGATGTGATGCCCTTTAATACCTGGGCCTTCATGGGCAGACCCTTGGAAGGTGGCTCTCCCAAGCCCCAGGGTGGACTCAAATAGGCTGGAAGCTCACATGAGACTGTCTATGACAACCTATTGCCAACTGTAGGTGGCCCATTGCCATAGGTAAATTAAGTCTCCTGGTTCCTGTCCACACGTCCCCATCTCTCATGAGTGGTAGAGCGGAGAAGAGTGTTTACGTGTGCTCAATAAATAGACGTTGACTGCTGGAATACAATACCTCAAATAAACAAACCAGCCTCCACGGGACTTCTTGGACTAGGTCTCCCGGTCATTTCGAAATCTCTGGGGTGACTTGGCTGTAGAAAGCTGTGAAAAGTAGGACACTGGGTGTCATCCTGTTGAGGCGGTCCAGCTTGTCCTCTGAAAGACCCACTGGACTTCTTTCTACCTCTACTGGTGAGGCAACAGAGGGGTAGGGTCTCCATTGCTTTGAAGGCATGAGGTAATCTGAAGGACACCCTAAGTACGTGATCCTAATAGCAAGAACCCAGATAAATGCCTGGTTACTTTGTCGGTGAGGTTGTGAGACCACACTGTCTGTTCTTTTCCAGCTGACAGGAGGAGCCTTGCTGGTCTCATGTGATGAGGATTCTAGGGCCCCTTAGCTGCCGCCTGATGGGATCTGCATAGGGGATTATTGATGAAGGGGAGGTGAGGCAGCTCTTTACAGTAACACATGCCTGGCTCTGGGATGGCAGCCAGGCAGCTAATTAGAGAGCCCAGCAGCTGTCCAGCCTTTCAGGCAGCAAGCAGCAGCTACCCAGTGCCAGGAGGTGGGATGGGAGGGAAAGGAGAGGGGCCTGGGGCCAGAGACTGTCCTCCAAGGTACAGGGGATGAGTGGTCAGGGTTTGTGCAGAGGGGGCATTGGGAGAGGCATGTAAAGTTGAGTGGGTGGGTAGGTAGGAGGAAGGAAGAAGAGGAGGGTGACGGGACAGGTGGTCTCCATGTGAGACAGAGGACAAGGGTGGTGAGACGTTCAGCTGGCAGGGAAACCCAGATTCCAAGCCCTGAGTGAGTGGTCACAGAGTAGAAGGACAAGGCCAAGTGGAGTCGGGGGCAGGTCCATCTCCTCTCTCTACCCACCTGCCCTATGCCATTTGGGTCCCCAGGGCCTAGGTCTCCTTGCTCCCCAAAGGAAGTTGACCAGACACAGCTTTTCCTCTAGGGGGATTTGGAATTCCAGTTGCATTTGTAACTGAGTGCTGTCACGCCTTGGTTTGGGAAGTTGCCAAATCCACTTGTGTTCTTGTCTGGTCTTACGACAGGACAAGCAAAAGCATTTCTTCTGGTTACATAGGAAGAACTGGGGGTTGGGGGGCTTTGAGTAACCAGAGGGATCTTCGATAGATTTTTGGGGCATTTTCTCTTTACTTTGCGAGCACCGGGGGGTGAGAGAGATTTAGGGAGAGTTAAGGAAGAGGAGAGTGGAAGAGAAAGAGGGATAGTGTTTTGCCTGCTGCTTCCCGGCTCCTGTCTTGGGTTCCTGGCCATAGAGATGGGGGCGGGGTTGGGGCGGGGGTATATCTGGTTTTTAGGTTCCAGTCAGAGAAGCAGAGATTCAATCCTGCAAGCCCAGCTTACCCTAAATAGTTATAGGGGAGGAGAGAGAATGATGCAGAGGGAATTTCCTGCCAGCAGCTGCTGGTTAAACCTTTTTGGGAAATGAATCCTACTTGCATGAAAACTGGATGTACCTTTTGAGAGTGCCAGCACATTGTAGAAATAACAGAATAGCCATTGTTATTCTCTGACTTGAACTTGAACTTGGCCCCTTGCCCCCATAGGAGCCCACAGTGTCTCAGGGATGCCTGGGATGCTCTGTTCCTGCCCCAGATTTCTTTGTATGATGTGTCTTCTGTATTGTTCAGACCCAAGGCACCCATCCCATATATCCTCACCTCTCAATCCGGCGATGGGAGAAAGGAGAGCAAGCACCCTCCTTTCTTCCCTCACCTGCAGAGACAGCCCTGCCCGTTGTAAACCAGTGTTTATAGTGCTTCGTGGGAGAGAGCCCTTCCATGATGGGATTCTGAAAATTAGAGAGAATGCCCCAGCCATCACTATGTTTGGCTAATAATGCTGGATGGTGCAGTCACCTAAGAACTTAGCTGGACCCGTCTCCACCTTGCTTGTCCATCCATCCAACAGAAATTCCGTGGTCGCAAGGAATTCACAATGTGGAAGGGGAAACACATAATAATTTTAAGATGGGACAGTAGGTTTCAAAGAAGGATGTTCAAAGGAGGGGGCTGGGGACAGCTTATCACTTGGAGGCAGAGGTGAGACCCCTGCTATACCATCGCTTCCTCCTGCAGCCCCCGCCAGCATCCTCAGTAAGAGCCTGCAGACCAGGAAGCAGGAGGTGTCCAGAGGCTGGCCCGAGAGGGAGCCTGTTCTGACTTCTGTGGCTTCAACTGCCTGGGAGGCACCTCAGCCAGCAATGGGCTCTGAAGGCTGACTGCAGAGACTGGCTGGCTGTGCTGCCAGGATGTGGGCTTTGGTTTCTGTTTCTTTTTTTTGTTTTGACTTCTGCTATTGATGTGGCCTGCTTAGGGCCCAGGGAAGGGGAAGTACCCATGGGTGGGATTGAATTCCCCAGGCACAGGATCATGATGGTGCCCAGGGTGGCGAGGGTGGTGGATATGCCCCATTAAAATCCTTTTCTCGAGGTGACAGGTACAGGCCATGGTGACCCCTGCCCATCAGCAGGCAGGCTGAAAGAAGGGAGGATGATGGAGGATGGACAGATGGGACAAAGTTGGAGGCTCCTTGTGGAAGAGCTGGAGAGGGACAGAGGCAAGGCAGAGCACTGCCCACTGCCCACCGCACCCCCCGTCCTTCACTTCTGTCAGTGCAGAGGCCCCAGGGAGAGACCCAGGCTGTGCTCACCCTCTCCGCCTACAAGCACGTGTGCACACAATGAATTTTAGGTTTTCTATCTTTGCCCTTTCAGTTCCCCTGCTGCCTTGCAAAAGTGTCTGTTTAGGGAGCAAAGGCCTGAGTCACCCCTGCTCAGAGAGCCTGGGGTAGGTGAAGGAGAAAGGGTGTCAACATAGGGTGGCTCCTCTGGAGTCTACCCTATTTAACTATTCATGGCGGGGGGGTGCCATCTCCTACCCCCATTCACATCTGGCTTCTGAGAGGCTGGCACATCCTTCGCTAGGGCCGTGCTGGACCTGAGCTCTGTCCTCGGGATGCACATGGTGCTGCATCCAAGGGTATTTAGGGAAGCTTCAGCACCTTCCCGTTAAAATAATAAATGTCAGGATCTCTATCAAATGGTCAGGTCTTAGGGATATATTAAAAGTATGTACATGGCAAGGGGCGTTATAAAGTCAGATTTATATCAGTTTACAGCCAATTATTGATGTTAACGGGAAGGGCCTCAACAACAATAATGATAAAATAATAGAATGAAATAAATATTAGTGTAGGGGGATTGCAGGTAGAGGGTTTTAGCACATTTTTGTTGTTGTTGTTGGTATGCTTGTTTTACTGTGTTGCGCTTAACTCCCCAAATGCTAAAACAAATATCCTACATTGCCTGCCTTCCAAGAGGCTCTTGACCACCCTTGAGAACAGGTGTACCCACTACAGGGTGAAGGTGAGAGTGAAATTTGAGGCTAAATGAGAATGGAGTTGGCTTCTTAAATTCTATCCGCTCTCAGATTTACACGTGTGTACACATTCACTTGTAGTACCCTTCTGTCCACGTGTGAACTGGGATGCATCCCAGGCTTTCAGCGTTCGATTAACCAGACCTGAGCAAACAGGATGGCTGAGAGGAGGTGACGGTCTCCAAGAGAAGGCCTGGGTAGCCTGGGCAGGATGTCTGTCTGGTACTGAGTCCAGAGCCAGGGCCCTTGCGGGGTTTGCCTGAGGCTACCTCTCTGGCTGGCCTGGTAGGTTGGAGCTGGGGCAGTTTAAGCTAATGAACACCTCCTCTTTTATTCCCAGGGACACATGGAAGCCGCCTGCCCACTAGCGGAGGATCAGCTAAGCCCTGGGGCTGATGCTTGCCCACACTCCTGAGAATGGCACCGAGGCGCACCAGGCACCAGGACGGAGGTTAACCTGGGACACTCCTGGACAGTGATCCCGATGTCTGTTCTGAGCCGCGCACTCAAGGGTGTGATAAGTGAGTATGTTACAGGCTCCCTGGGGACTACCAGCCCTCTCTGCCTCAGCAGCCTGGGCCCAGGTCTGGAAGTCCCAGTTCTGAGCCTGCTTTCTATCCAAGGGCCTGCCATAGGGCAGGAATGGGAGAGAGGTGTCCAGCAGTTTTAGGCCATGTCCTGTGCTGGAGCCATCTTATAGCCACATGGCCTCCAAAAACTGGGCCAGACCCAGATTTCGCTGACACGATTGACGTGAGCTACCCAGCACATAGGAGATGGCATCTTCCCCAATTCTCTTTCTTGTCTGTAGGCTTTGGGCCTCGGGCTCTACCTGTGTGCCGTGGGAACTGTTCCTCGCCTGGGACTTGGATTCTGCCCAGATGCCATGAGCAGTTTCCATGACCCTGGGTGGAGCATCCAGGGCACTGGGAGGTGAGGGATTTGTGGCACCTGAGCTGCCATAAACGTGGCCATCAGGGCTTCAAGAGGAGCAAGGGCTCTGCTGCTTCAGCCGCATCTCCTCCTCCATCTAGACGGCTCCATGCAGGGCGAGAGGCCCCGACCGTGCAGTCTCTCCTGTGCTCACGTGGCCTTTCTTTCCCACTGTGGCCTCTGGCTTTTCCTGGATGATACTTTAAAATATGAATTGGCTGTTTTCCCAAGCCCCAGAGTCCTATCCAGCCTGAAGGCAATTCTGTCCCACTGAAGGCAGACAGTCCCACTGTGGGATCAGGGACCAGAAGGCAGAGAGGTCCCCTGGAAGGCAGGTCAGGGAGAGCTGGTGCTTTTGTACCTGACTGGACAAGCTTTTAGGGGCGGCTGGCCTTGTCCATGGGATCTCAGAGCCTTAGACTCCGTGGAGGAGTTTGCATGTATTTCTCAACTTTAGGTAGAGCTTGACTCTGCTGCCAATTGAGAGTTTCAAACGCAGAGCTAGAATCTATTTCACTGAGCCTGGGTTTGCAAAATCAGTTTGTGATTGGAAGTTTCTTTCAGGAAGTGTTATCTTGGGTCGATTTGTAGCTGGGGTGGTGTGAGCATGCTTGGACCGTGGGAGTGGAGAG